GAAAGAAAGAAAGAAAGAAAGAAAGAAAGAAAGAAAGAAAGAAAGAAAGAAAGAAAGTCCAAACTTTTCCTCCTCTACATTTCTTACCTCTTGTCTGCTCTGGCTTTCTCCATCTCCTCACTTCTTCCCTCTCTTAGGCTCACTATGCTTCAGCCACTGGGATTTCAGTATTTGGGATGAACTTTCATATCTTGAGGCATTGATTTATAAGGCACATTTCTCTTCCTAACCTTTTTGAACATCTTGTTTCCTTTTATACTTTAGTTTTCTGGGTGCATACCTAGTTTCTCATGACACAGAGTGATACAATAAGACTTTATATAATATGTGACGTTGTTATTCCCTTCTTATTTTTAACATCTACCTCTCTGAAATGGAATAGCCCAAGCTCATTAAAAACAATTCTACCCAAGCTTTGTGGTATCATGCTCTCTGGAGAATGCTAAGTCCATGCTTTTTACCCTTTATAAGTAAAGGAAGGATTGATGAATGGCAAAGGGCCACAATGTTCCACTGACCTTCAAGGAACACATTGATCTTCATAATCATCTGGAATGAATAGAATATATATTCTGGCTGCAGAAAGTTGTACTGTAGACACGAAAAATTGTGTTGAATCATAGGATTACTCTTTAAGAGAGGTATTGATGAAGATGAGGTAGAAAAGTAAGCTCTTCTGAGAGTAAACCAGCTCTTCATTTCATGTTTATTCTTTCTTTTCTTTTCTTTTCTTTTATTATTGAGATAGAGATTTGTTGTGTTGTGATCCTCCTATATGCGCTTTCCAAATATCTGGGGTTAGAAGCATGAGCCACTGTGCCTGGCCTTTAGGTTGAACTGGAAACCAAAACTCAGGATTCCCATGTGGTATCAGTTTCTGGAAGACAGCATCTTACTAGTGTTCTCCACTACAGCTGGGCTAATTGAGTGTATTTTTGACATAAGAATTGTTTAAATGATGTTTTTTTCCCCCTTAATTCTCCTTTGATATAAAGATGGGAAAAAGACTAAATTATATTCTTAATTATCTAATCTAGCCAGGATCCTCTGAATGCTCTTGACATTCACAGTTTACCTTAATTGTATTATATATTTTCATATATTAAGAGAAACCAAAGCAAAAATTCTCAATGAATGGCAAAGGGCCACAATGTTCCACTGACCTTCAAGGAACACATTGATCTTCATAATCATCTGGAATGAATAGAATATATATTCTGGCTGCAGAAAGTTGTACTGTAGACACGAAAAATTGTGTTGAATCATAGGATTACTCTTTAAGAGAGGTATTGATGAAGATGAGGTAGAAAAGTAAGCTCTTCTGAGAGTAAACCAGCTCTTCATTTCATGTTTATTCTTTCTTTTCTTTTCTTTTCTTTTATTATTGAGATAGAGATTTGTTGTGTTGTGATCCTCCTATATGCGCTTTCCAAATATCTGGGGTTAGAAGCATGAGCCACTGTGCCTGGCCTTTAGGTTGAACTGGAAACCAAAACTCAGGATTCCCATGTGGTATCAGTTTCTGGAAGACAGCATCTTACTAGTGTTCTCCACTACAGCTGGGCTAATTGAGTGTATTTTTGACATAAGAATTGTTTAAATGATGTTTTTTTCCCCCTTAATTCTCCTTTGATATAAAGATGGGAAAAAGACTAAATTATATTCTTAATTATCTAATCTAGCCAGGATCCTCTGAATGCTCTTGACATTCACAGTTTACCTTAATTGTATTATATATTTTCATATATTAAGAGAAACCAAAGCAAAAATTCTCAATATTATATCAATATCTCATTGATTTTACTTTTGCCCTAGTAAGATCAAAATGTTAGTAGGCAACAAAGGACCTGAGGGCACTGTCACATCCAACGGGCAGTGAACTCTTAGATAAAGTTCTCTGGCAAATGGTTTCCTTCCCTGTGGTGCACATGGAGGAAATTTGGAGATGCTAGCTTCCACTTTACTCTCTTCTCTATGCCTCCTCCATACTGCACTCATGTTCTCATTGTTCTTCCTCGCATTCTGTACCATGCCCGGTTTCCTGATCTTGCTGAAAGCTCTCCAACCGGGTCTCCTTGCCTGATTCAGGGTTTTCAGTTTTAGTTGTGCAATCTTATTTTCACTCAGACATATTGAATCAAAGTTCCCTTGAAGGGAGCGAAGAAGTTAGTAGAGAAAAGAAAACCCAAACTATGTGTACCTCAGGAATTCGTATCAAATGCTGGTCTTCTGGAACCTATTAACTAGTGCATGCTTCACATCTATTTCTGAGTTTTGGGAGAGTAAGATGTGGCCTTGTGTTTGATAGAAAATCCATTATTTTCTTAGAGATCTGGGCATCTTACACACTGCTGTGGGAGCTTAAAGAACCCATAATCCTCTTTCATAGTCCAGAAAATTTAATATGAAAGTGAAGAAAAAGTTCTTTTTCCATGTAGAAAAGCCCAAATAAATTTCATGAAATTTTAAGGTAATTTCTGCTATTTCCAGAGTGGGATTGCAGTACCAGAAAATGCTCCTTTTCTAGTTATGGCACATAAAGGAAGGTCTTGAGTGGTCTATAAACATCCTCTGATATGGGAAGTGAGGATATCTGATCAGTGATTCCAAATTTCTCGAGTCTAGGTTACCCATGGAGGTTGCTTTGCGGACTGGTTCCTCCTGTGACCTTGAAGCTTGCAAATTCACTTTCTAGGTTTCCCCCTACATATTAGCTTTTTAAAATTAGCTAGTTATCAATTATTCAAGTCAGGGGTAGACCTCTAAAAAATGCAGTGTCCCAGGTTTTATTGCTTTACAAATATGTTTTACCATTTTACCTAAGAAATCCAGCAATATTTACCTTATTAAATGTTGTGATAAGAATATAGCATGGAAAGAACAAACCATCAGTGGAACTATTTATTCCCAACAAATAGAAAAGCAATCTTCATAAAGCACAAATATGACACAGTTACCTGTCATGTTGCAATAAACTTTCAGAGGCCCCAGAGGTCCACTACCGTCAGGATCTATCCAGTAGTAATTGGATGTCTGGCCAAGGTGTTTGTATGCTTCACAGGAAGGCTCGTAGATGGCTGGAACGGAATACCCCACATGAGCACAGCATGGAACAAACGGTTCCCCAGCTAAATGCCCCAAAAACACATCTGATATTGGCAAGCTACTGTTTAGGAGCATTTCCTCTTGTTAGAATGTGGATTCTTTCTCTTAAGTTTAAATTTACCACTTGATGGTTTCTCTCTAAGTGTTTCTGACCCCAACAAACAAAGATATCAAGCTCTTTGTATGACTTCAGAGTTGGGAAAAGTCTAAAATCATCAAACTGTTCAACAAATGTAATGCTTGTTTCATTTGGGTTGAAGATCAGTGAAAAATATTTAGTTATTTATAGATATTATCTTCTCACTATGAAAGACTTGATTTTGAAAGGTCATAAATATTGTCTGCTTTGGTGAGCTTTCTACTAAGAGGTCAGAGAAAAATCTCTTCTCTGTTTCTTTCTCTCTCTCTCTCTCTCTCTCTCTCTCACACACACACACACACACACACACTCAAACATATCTTTTTCTCATACCTAGTACAAATATCTCAAAAGGAGTGATTTCTAATCTTCTTTGTCTCAGGATAAAAGAGAGAAAAATATTCCTGATTCATTTTATTTGTTACAGGTGCTTTAATTACATCAAATCAAGTTTGCACAGAAAGCTGACATTCATGTAATTAAATTATAGGTTCTTTTTCATTATTTTCCTTTTTCTTCCCATGCGTATGACAAATTCTTTTTCTCACAGAGACTGCACCTGTTTCTGAAGTACAAAATAGATATTTACATACCTCCTTTGTAGTTAAAATGTCTAAAGTGCTATTGAGAAAACTTTTTTTGTAACAGCTCCACACTGACATTTATGAAAAAATATAGACGATTTCTTTGCACTGGTAAAAATCCATCTGTCTGGTACACAAGTAGTGGAGTCTTTTGGTAAAGTGCACTTGAATCATACTCCTAGGATCTGGTGTGTGTTGAATTATGAAATAAGAGGTCCGATTCTAAAACCTTGCTTTTGTGCTCTCCTCTACCCAGTTCTGTGTGACTCTCTTTGACTTTCTATGGACTCCTCTCTCCAAGGATGTTCAACCTTCAATTCTATTTCATTTCATTCACAGCAATACACTAGACTAAAACATTCTCACAATTCTTAGGTTTACTCATTCCTTCCTCCATCCTTTTCTGTCCTTTTTTTGCCTGCTAAGTTGGGCACTGCAAATACAACTGTGAATAACACAGAGAGAAGACTTTAGGAACAAGGTTTGTTCACTAATTGTTTTGGTATTTCATATATGTAATGTGCTACTAGAAGGGGATATTTGCTAGGAAGCAGAGTCCCTACTTTTTAATGCCAGTGTAATTTTTAATAGGCCCACTTTCAACCTCCTGAGTGCTTAATTTAGGTAATATACTACATGATTCTAGTTTTCAATGCTGTACTAAGTAAAATATTGCATTAAAAGGCTTAGAAATGGTATTTTAAAATTTTACACAGGAAGATGCCATAATTAGATGTAGTTTTTAGAAAGAAAACTCTGTGTAGCAAACAATAAATTTTAGGGGATTGATTTAAAATGTAAAGAGGGCATTTAGGCTGTTATTTCCATAGGTCAGTTGAAAGGTGATTAGCACTTAAAGAAAAGCAATATGATAACAGATAAGTAGTTGGGGCTGATTCAAATGATTTTAAGATCCACTGGATATAGGTTGGTAAGAATAAAGGCGAGCTGATAGTGATCTAAACTCACAATCTCTGAAAATAAATGAACGGCCTTATTAATTTTTGACAAACTCTCTCCAGATTATTACAATGTTAGTGTATAGTTCTAAATGATCTAGATGTCAGGTTCAAGTTCTAATGTGTTGTTCTTAGACCCTATACATAATCTGCCATTAAAACCTTTCACCTGTGGCCAGCAGGTGGCGTGGTGGCTAAGGCACTGGACTCCATGGTGGACTGCAGTTTGAGGCCTGGACCTGACAGCTTGAAAATCACTCTGGTTGTGTGTGCATGTGTGCACCCAAACTGCCAGAAGGAGAATGGAGGAGAAGGGATTGCAATGTGGCCATCCCTCTAGGGAGTGATTTTTCATTTTCTCTCTCATTTCTCTCTCTTTCTCCAACAAGTGTATGCACCCTAGGACAAAAATCTAAAAATAAAACAGAACAAAACAACACCAAAAACAAAACATTTCATCTTACTGTTGTAATATTAAAAATTAATCATTTTCTTTGTCTTCTGTAAAAATGCCAATGGTTATCCTCATCATAGGGGATATGGTTTTCAACAATCATCTTATTAATTTATTGTTGTACCCAAATATCTCTTTGCTTCTCATTGAAGTATGCTTTTTAACCAATATTAGTCTAGTCATAAAATATTACTTTCATTATGTTCGAAATATGTAGTGCTTCTCCAGTATCTATGGTATTATATCACAGATCACCATCTATGCATACAAGAACTTACATCATTCTAACAGGTACATTTTGGCTTTAGCAACTACCAATGTAAACCTTGTGCTTTGGTCAGGCAATTTTGCCACAGAAACTTGCTTAATTCATGCTCACCCTTTCTGGGATTGCCTTTATCTGAAATATACTACAAGCCTTTTTCTTAATCTATGAAAGTTTTCAATCAGAGTTAACAAAACAAGTGGGAAAACAAACATGGCTCAGCAGTCAAGCAGACTTAAGCTCACATTCTAGCTTCACAAAGAACTGCTTATACACACTGACAATGGTACCTAACCTCCTTCAGCCTTCTCTAGAAAATAAATATATGGTGTATATTATTGGGTCATTAGAAAAGTCATGCCGCATTTTTCCACATTTTTTAATGCAAAAAATGCATCGTGACTTTTTCAATGACTCAATATTATGGTGTTATTAGTATTAAAGGAAATAACGCACATCAATAGATAGAGTCTGAACATAGAGTCTGATCTCTGGTACATATTTAGTGGGTGACATTTTTTGACATTTATATTATGAATATAATAACTGTAACTTAGGTACAACTCAAATTTTTCCTTCTTAAGAAAAGTTCCTGGTCAATGATGTGTATCTTTCTGTATAAGCCAGGGCAGGCATTGCAAATCTCAGGTACTAAAAAACTTAGTTATAGTTGATTTAAAACTCATTGACTATTGTTATTGAATTTCATATGTGCAGTTTTTACTTCCTAACAAGATTGCAAATAATCATGAGGGCAGAGTCTATAAATACATTTTTTACTTTTTTGCCTCATAAGATCTAACATGGCAAATGTCTAAGGAAAGATATTAAAACTGAATTTAATGTGTACCCATTCTTCCACCAATTTTAATAAAAAATTATTAGTTAGTTAACTAGAATTTTATACTAAAACGTGACTGAATTAGTGGTTAGATGATGGCACTGTGGTGAAATGTGATGTTCTATATGGCTGACTCACAGGGAAAAGTACTGCGTTGGTGTCTGGAGACTTCCTTGAGAAAGTCAGACATGTGTCTGCCCATGATCTGGGGCTATCTTAAGCTTGGACTAGATGGTGTTGTTTCTCTGTCGTTTTTGCTCATGGAGTAAATGAATAAATAAAACTTAAAAAAATATTGAATAATAATAAGTATAGGTGCTACAGTTTAAATATATCCTCCAAAATTCAAGTGTTGGAAACTTAACTGCCATTGTAGTGGTGTTAAAAGTGTAGAAACTTAATCCAACTATGGTATTAAGAGGTGAAGTTTTGGTGGAGCTTTGATTAGGATTATATACCATAAACAAATTAAGGCCCCCAGAAATAAATCTTGGTGGTTTTATAAGAAGGAAAAAAGAGACTAGAGCTGAAATAGACGTGTTTGCTGTTGTCCTTTTACCATCTGATTCTCTGTACCACCTTGGGATTCTGCAAAAAGGCCCCATAAATAACAAGACCCTAAACAAATGTGGCCCCTTGACCTTAGACCACTAAACCTATGAGATAAAGAAGAAACTCTTATTGTTTATAAATCACATGATCTATAGCATTCAGTTATAGCAACAGAAAAATACATGAATCCAAAAAATTGATAGTATGAGTGGGCTTATTGTTAGTAACAACTCCCTGAAATTTGGAAGCAGCTTTGGACTAGAGAATGGGTAGAGGTTGGGAGAGTTTGGAAGAGCAAGATAGAGAAAGCCTAGATCTTGGTGAGTGCTCAGAATATAAGAAGACTAAGGAAAGTTTGGGATGTCCTAGAGCTTGATTGACTAGTCATGACCACAATGCACATAGAAACATATAAAGAAAGGGCGATTGTGACAAGATCACAGATGAAAGTAAGGAATATCTTAATGGAAATTGAAAAAAAAGAAAAAAGGTCATCATTGCAAACCTTGCAGCATTATGTCCGTACCTTACAGCTTTGTGGAATGCTGAATGTAGGTATGATGAATATCTAATAGAATAATTTTCTAGGCAGAATATAAAAGGATCAGTGCAGTACTCAGAGTGCTTACAGTAAAATGAAAGAGCAAGGGCATGACTCAAAAATAGAATTTATAATTAAAGGGAAGTGGAGTAGACAGATTTGGAAAATTAAGCCTAATCTCATAAAGAATTATTCACTCTTGCCCTCTAACCACGTGATGCTGCAAGACCTTAAGACACTGAAGAGACCTCCCACCAACAGGAAAACCCTCACTGATATGGCCTCTTGACTTGGATCTCTGAATCTATGAGCTAATAAGTCTCCATTCTTTATAAATTATCCAGTCTGTAGTGTTTAGTTCTAGCAACAGGAACAATGGACTAATATAGTATGTATCTACTGTATTTCTAGATAAGTATATGAGTATTTCAACAAGGGTTATAGCCCTTAACCCAAGTAACTAACTAGTAGTAGACATTGCAGGCATGCAGATGTGGGAAATTTTAGTAACCAAGAAGCTCTTCTTTTTGTCTTCAAAATGTGGCAATTACTCTGAGTTTCTTAAACCTGTGATAAGTTTGAGAGCTGCTTTTGCCTCATCAACACATGGAAAACCAGGTACTTCAATCCAAACTTT